TAAATAAAGATGACCCTTGAGTCTGCAAAACCCAAGGGAAAAAGGCTTAGGTGGCAAATGTTAAAACCAATGTTGGGCCTTGCTGGAGGAGTTTTATTCAAAGCGAACTGTCAAGGGGGTCCCATAAATCACCCAACCGCGTAAGGAACGCAAAATCCGGAAACATAACACCAGTATGACGGAAACTAGGGCGGCAAGAGTGGAACAAAACACCAGGCATAAGGCCGAGTCTTCCATCCTTTACCAAATATATAGATGCATTAATAATATAAGAGATATTGTGATATCCCAATCATAATCCTGTCCACCATGGAGAAATCTTCAACTTCACCTGCAACTAACAACGCTATAAGAGGGGCTGAGCAAAGCGGTAACATAGCCAAACAACGGTTTGCTAGGAAGGATGAAAAGGTTAGAGGCTGGCATGGCAATATGGGAGGCATGGTAAACAAGTGATAGGTAGCGCAGCATAGCGATAGAACGGAGCAACTAGCAAGCAAAGATAGAAATGATATCGAGGGTAATAGTCATCTTGCCTGAAATCCCGATAGGAAGAAGAACGAGTCCATGAAGAAGACAAACGAATGTAGTCGAACGGATCCTCACAACTCCGGAACAAAACCGAAGCTAACGAGAGAAGCAAACCGGAAAGAAGCAAACAACATGGTAAACAACCATCACATAATCATGGCATGATGCACAACCAAATATGATGCATGTCCGGTTTAATGAGGCATGGCATGGCAATATGCACAACCAACACTACAAGTTAAGTGGAGCTCAATATGCAACGAGTTGCATATTGACGGAACACCACAACAATTATTTAGTTCTCTCTCGGTTAAGTACTCAACAATATTAAATGTTGGTTAACATGGCAAGAGGTGAAACGTAATTAAACTACCTATTTAGGCAAGTTTAAACGAGGCCGGAAACAACAAACAACAATTCCGGAAATCCCCATATGTCATTTAGTAGTTTAAAGCAAACACAATTTTAAGCATTTAAATGTTGTTATCATGATGCGGATGACATATTCAAGTTTATGCAATTTTATGAAAACGTTAACAAGAGCATGATACGAGGCATTTGGTCACCATGGCGGAACGAAAAGGGTGCCACGGCGGCGAAACAAAAATGGTGCCACGGCAACACATCCGAAAATGATGCCACGGCAGCATATCAGTTCCGGTAGCTCATGGAGATACCGGTGCAAAAGGAAGTGAGCGTGAGCGAGTCATGCAAGATGGTGGGATGATCCCGGATTCCGGGTGTCCCACATAACGGTGGCATGGCTTGCGGCGAACATGCAAGGAACAATTCGAACACGGTCCAAACATAGGGTGCATCTCATACAACACACATTCATACACGGGCGGTCGTCATATCGGGATTATACCTTTGAAGCGTGCGTTTTTGGAGTGGTTCGAGTCGGAGCGAAGTAGGGGAAGTAGACGTTCTCGTGGCGGTCGTAGGGGAAGTAGTCGTACACGTTTCGTAGTACGTTCTCGTGGCGGTCGTAGGGGAAGTAGTCGTACACGTTTCGTAGTTGTACATGTCGGCGGTAGTAGTTGTTCAGGGTCTTGGCGGGTCGTCATGTAGCCGTACATGTTTGTCGTGGTACACGGTTCGTAGACGTTCGAGTCATCGGTAGAGGAAGTAGTGGTACACGGCCGTAGATGTTCGGCGTCGTCGGTAGAGGAACTTGGCGGACCATGTAGTCGAACTTGGCGCATCCGAAGGGGTACTTGACGAAACCCACCTCGGATGTAGTCGTGCACGTCGTAGTCGGACTTGACAAAAATCACACCGGCTGTAGTGATACATAGCTCGTAGACATCCAGGATCATCGTAGAGGAACTCGTCGTCCACGAAACTAGCAGTGGAGCACACAGGCCCCAGGTTTCGATCTTCAGGAGCAGCGGCGACTGCAAGAGGCGGTTGCAGCAGATGTCATCGGGGGAGGGAGCAGTTGCTGCTGCTGTCAACCCTGATGGAGGCGAGATCCGGCAGCGGAGCTGGCGAGGCGGCGGCGCCGGGTAGACGAGGAGGCGGGCAAGGAGAGCAGGGCGGAGAGGCAGATGTGGGCGAGCGGAGTGGGGGCTTCGGGAGGCGATGGTTGATGCAGCGGCGGCAGGGAAAACGGAGGAGAGCGCAGAGGGTGCTCTCGGGGAGGCGCGGGGCGACGAGGAGGAGGCCGCAGGGCAGCGCAGGAACATGGCAGCAGCTTGGCCAGGGAACGACGGAGGCAGCGGCGGTCGCTGGAGAGGGGCTTGGCGCGGCGGGGATGAGCTCGGCGTCCGTGGCGGCATCCATGGCGAGGTGGCGCTGAGTCGAGGCGCTCGGGCTGCAGGAGGCAAACGGCGGAGGTCCTGGCACGGCCGCAGGCGACGGAGGAGGGAAGGCGTCGCGGCGGAGAGGATGGGGCCACGCGCAGGGTGGCCCTCCTGGGGGTCGCCAACGGCGGCGGGTGGCGATGGGGACGCGGGGGAGAAGGAAGCGCGAGGCCTTGGGCGGAGG